CGCTGTTGGCCATCGACTGCCATAGCATTGGTCCAAACGCCGTCAGGGCCTTGTTGAGGGCTTCCACTGTGACTCTCGCAAGGTGTGCCGGGTTCTGTACAATTAGGGTGACTTTCTTGCTGTCGATTGTGAATTCGTAAGAGAGTCCCTGTCCCTGCAATGCCACCTCCAACCAGGACGCCGGTTGGTGGTCCGGTGGTAATGGGTGGGTTGTGATTGTGGCTGTGGTCGGATTTTTTGCCATTTTTGTGCTTTTTTGCTTTGCTAGTTTGGGAAAGGATTGAAGTGGGGAGGGACGACTGATTTCCCATCATAAAGCTCCCTAGTGTCACATCTTGGAAAGTGGACAGGCTTCCCTGTTTTGGGATTAGGGTTTTTGGCCGGTCATTAATTGTGGATGTAACGGAGGTGACCCTTGGGGTATTTTTGATTGTTGAAGGGGGAAGTTGCAGACAGGGCACTCGATTGCCATATCTGTCGCTTGGGTTTTCTCCATTAGAGGCGTTCACAGTAGATATGGTAGGGGAAGCATAGACTATGGGGCCTTTGGTTTCCGGTTCATTTGATTGCATGCGGATGGCCCCATTGGGCACGTTACCTGAGGTAATAATTGGTGCCTCAGTAGTTGGGGTGGATCCCACTGGTGGTTTGGGCTGGTGGGTGCTAATTGTGGGGTCTTCAGAATTGAGCCCCGCTTTCCTTTTAGAGCCCGTGTTGTGCAGCTCTGTTGGACTTGGGGTAGGCACGTGCCTTGGCATTTTTGGGCCGCTGGTGGTTATTTTTGTTGGGCCTTGTTGCCTCCTTGGAAGTTTTTGGGTACTGTTTATCTGATTTTTAACGTTGTAATTAAAAGCTTTGGGTTGGGGGGGGGGGGGGTTACCTGAAAAGTCATCGGACTTATTGACCTGGCTTTCCTCTGCCTGCATATTGTTGTGTTGTCTAATAGGTTGGCCTTCCGCATTTGGAGATGTTTTTAACTGTCCCTGCTTCCGTCTTCTTGGGAATGTTACTGTCTTCCATTGGCTCTCCTCCGGTAGGGAGTCCGTTTGATGGTGTTGCTGAGAATCATTGGCTGCTATTGGTTGACGTTGACTGTATGTACATCTTATGGATGTGTGACCTATCCTCCCACAACTTGTACATAGTATTCCTTCTCCTTCATAAATCACTGATTGTTTATGGTCACCAATGATCACTGAGTTTCCACTGGCGATTCCAATGGCACTTGGATGCAAATGCGTGCATATCTCCCTCTTAACGTGGAGGAGGTACATTGATCAATTTTCAGGAGTTTCCCAAGTTTCCTCCCAACTTTCTCTAAAATGACTTTGTCGTAGAATTCAGTTGGGAGTTGAGGTAGTCTTATCCAGATGGCAGTAGAAGTAAGCGTGGCTTCCTGTGGAACAAACTTTGGTTCCCATTTTCGGACAGAAAGAAGTGGCCAGATATAAACCATGGGCTAAGATGCAGTGCCTTCACCATACTCTCCTCTAAATTAAATTTCACTATGAAGAAGTCCCATCCTAAGTCAATCAAGATTAACTGTTCGGATGGCTTCCATAGTTCAATTAATTTAGAGCGTAGCATGTGATGATGCATTTTTCTTTTGAAGACTTTGATAATTACTGAGAATTTTCATGGCTGGTATAATCTTTCTTTTTCTTCTGGTGATAGAGGAATTGAACCTTCTATATGTTTACCCTTGCACCCTTCTGGGGTGGACTGATGTTCCATGTCGTAGTAATTACCTTGGTTGCATGCCTGTTTGTCTAGGAGTGTTTCCTTATAGGATTGCTTTGATTCTACTTCTGTCCGAGTTAGTTTGTCCGGTGGTTCCGGCAGGAGAGGTGGTCTGATTAGTGGTGGTTCCATGGGCTACAGTAGTGGAGAGAGAATTCGGCAAGTTGAAAGTGGAGGCTCACACTTCAAACTTCAGAACATTTGGTAAATTTTGCGCGTGCTAATGTTAACTCCCACACCACCAAATGATGTGGTGCAGCGGATGGGGTTGTTATCCCCTTAATTAGAGGTCTCGAGTTCGAGCCCTGGGTATGGAAAAATTCTTGGTAGGGAGCTCGAGCCTTGGGTATGAAAAAATCCTTGGTAGGGAGCGCTTCCTCCTGAATGGGGCCCTGCGCGGCGACAATCCGAATATAGCCGGACTCCAATACGAGTACCAGACACCGGATGGGAAACCAAAAAAAGAATGTTAACTCCCACAAATTCTCTGGTTTGTTCAATCAAGACAATGAAACAGAACAAATGAATCTGAAATAGTTTATAAGCCAAGAATATTAAAAGTTTTGAAATGCTTGTTACATTTACATAATTTTTAAAAGGCTTATTTTGAAAAATGTGAAACTTTATTGCACCGTGATTAATTTATCTTAAATGCATCATAATAACTTAATAAGTACATTAAGAGTTTCAAAGCAAAGCACTAAAATTCTAAGGTAATTATTTTAATTAATTTTATAGATATTTCACAATTACTCAACGATTAGTTTATATTATGATACAAAATTATTATAGAAGTAATGTTTAAATAAATGGCTGTTGCTCCCAAACGCACACGCAAGTATAGGTGGTCGTACAAGTAATAAAATGATAAGTCGAGTATCGAACCCACAAAGACTTGTATCAACTACCCACTAATTCACCAATATTGTTATTCATTCAAGCTAAATTCGAGTTCAAGAATGTGATTATACTAAACTATAATTCTAAGTAGTAACTAAATTATCAAGCAGTAAAATGATTGTTATGTCTCCAATATAGACAAATATTCCAGGGTTGTGATCGATTCACCAATCCTATTGTGTTCTAGTTAACTCTCCGTCTCATAGAATTCACTCATGGTTGCTAATTAATCGATAATTGCTCTCATAGCCTTCTCCCGAAGTACTACTCGCCTATTCAAAATAGATTAACGCCTACATTCCTATGAAATCAATCTATTAAGAACGCATTAAGATTACGATATTTAATTAAGCACGGTGACTAGGTATATTCCTATCCTAACCACAAATCCCCCCCTCCCCCCTAAGAGTTAAGATCGTGCTCTCTTCAATTCTTCTCTAATCTAAACATGGCTTTCCCAAACATATCATAGATAGTAAATATAACCTAATTGCTGGCCAGACAATTAAGCAATTAATTACAGAATTGAAGAAATAACTTATATTAGTGAATTGTAATCAAGTTTAAGTCAACGTTAAACAACAATATTCATGGCTAAATCACAACCCCAGAACTACGGGTTTTTAGCCACTCATGATAATAGCAAACAATTTCATAAGTGTTGGATAATTGAAAATACTAAGAAAAGATGAAGAAAAATGAGATCTCTTCGCTCCCGGATGTTTCTCGTGTGTAGTCTCCGCAAAAGTGGCGCCCCCCCTTTGTCCGCCTCCTTTTATATTTTTTTTTCTTTCGCATTTTATTCAATTTGCTCCAAAACTCTTGATCTTCACACCGCTTTATTCCTACACAGTTAAAATATAATATTAAGCACAAAGTACTATAATTAATACTCAAAAGATGATTAAAAAGTGCTATAATGTAAGGCAACAATGGTTAAATATATGCGTCTTTGGCCGAACATCAATGACAAAATGGTCATTCAGCATTTGATGGATATTTTAGTAATTCAACCTTCACTTTAGAGGCTTCACTTATAATATAGTTTGATATGATATGATGATGATGATAATTATATCTTAAGTTTTATACAAAAATTTATACAGGAAAATTTACCTTGTATTAGTAACACTAGCCTTAGTTACGCGCTTTGCTCGTATACCTATAATAATGAATATTACTTTAAAGTTTTACAAAAATATTTTTGAATAATGTATTTGAGTTATAAAATAATATTATAAAATATAATTTTTTAAAATGATAGAATATTAATCCCAATCAGCTAGATTGTCTGATGTAAAATTTATTTTTGAAGGGCAAAAAAGTCGAACAATACTTTTCGAAGGGAATCCTTTTAGAGTGCGCACTTTGCATGTATACCCATATTTGACATTCAATTCTTATGTGTCATTTTGAAAGTATTTCTTGAATTTGATGTTGAGCTAAAGAGTATCATAATTATGTATATTGATTATATTATACCAAATTATAGTAGAGTATTTACATTTTAGTACATAAGATTTATAAAAGGAGCGTTAGATTAAGGGGTAATGGACATACTATTATATACTCCGAAAAATCAAACATATTTTTTTCGCAAAAAAGTATTTTTCTTTTTCCTCTTTAATTAAGATATTATTAATTGCTAGTAATTCTATGACAAAGAGTAATTTAAACCTACAACAAAATAATAACTACTTTTTACTTATTCTCTTAACTTAAATTCTCGAGAAAAAGTCTTATCTAGTGATAAAATTAGACGTCTAATATCAAACAAATGGATAATTTTGTTATCTAATATATCCCTGTTTGGATTAGAAATTGACAAATTAGTTACCTATTTTTTTTGTCTTAATTTAATAAAAACTTTCAATATAAAAACTACGACTTTTAAAGTACATGTCTAGATTGTGCATATTTAATTTTTATCGGATGCGAAATATAGTACCATATTTATAAGTAGAAATAAATTGATTTTGAATTCCTAATTATTAGGACTTTCTACCTAGTTCAAATACAAAAAAATTATTAACAATTTTTTTTTTTGAAATCAAAGTCCTAAATATTAGAAAAATAATTAAATAATTATTCTTAAATATTAGATAATTAATGATAATTTGATAATACTCTATTTTTAAAAAATTAAAAAGGCGAACGACATTTCGCTAAAATATCTATATTAAAATTAGACAAAATTAATATTCAACTAAAAAGATTGTATCATAAGGTAAAGTTAAAATTGGTAAAATAAAATACTTTTAGACAAAAAAATGAAAAAATATAATTAGACAAAATTCAGTTGTTGACCGATCCGCCATAGTTGCTGCGCACACGTGGCAAAATGCTATTCCTTCTATCCATCTTCTTCTTCAGAACAGTTGCGCCACTCCTAAACCCTAATTCTTCCTCTCCGCAGAAAAATCTCAGTTTTGAAAGATGGATAACAAAGAAGCTTCAGAAGCCATTAATGCACTCTCCTCACCGCCTTCTTCAGCAGACACTTCTATTTCCACATCTCAGTAAGTCTCTCTCTTTTTACTTATCACCAGCTAAATAAAGATCAGATAAAAGCCTAATTATATATCGTTGGCGCAGGAATATGGATAATCAAGAGACTTCAGAAGCCATTGATGCACTCTCATTGGCAGCTTCTTCATCCAACCCTTCAATTTCAACTTCGCAGTAAGTATCTGTCTCAACGTGCTCTCAGGGATGATGTAGTTTCTATTTGGAGTACGTTTGTCTAATTTAATTTCCGATGAGCATGTTAAATCTGTTAAAACATGTATTTATTTTCTGAGATGGTAACACATGACAAATTATTGAGTATTGGAATGAATGACACCGAATAAACAGACATGGAAGATTCATATAGCTGTTCCAATTTACTTAATTAGTTTGGGATAGGGGATTAGCTGATTGATATAGCGAGATCTCTGAAATTGTGTTTTTTTCATGTATGAAAGCATTTTTTTTTTTGTGTTTTAGTCTTGTTCGAATGCAAGATTAAATTTGTTGCATATTCTAATTTTAGGATGAGCTTGGAGGAGAAGTTCAAGATTGTTAGAAGTATCGGCGAGGAATGTATACAGGAGGATGAGTTGATGAATCTTTTGGCAAAGAAGCCACAACCGGTTTGCTATGATGGTTTTGAGCCTTCTGGTCGAATGCACATTGCTCAGGTACATAAACCTGAATTCCACCCACATTCTAACTTACAGGAACGAACATGATAAAAATTTGCCACTTGCCAAGTGTCTGGTTTGCACAATGGATGTGCTTATTTGCCTTTGAATTCTAATTGAACATGATTGTTTTTCCATTCTCGTGATTGGTAATGTACTTTGTTCAGATGCATCTTTGCACTTGTAAATATAACAAAAAAAGATAACCGCCAACAGCGACCCCCCCCCCCCCAAAAAAAAAAAAATCATGGGTTGACTTAAATTGGTTGCTTCCAGCCCATTATTAGCTGAAAGCACTAGTCAATAAGAGACGGTGGAAAGTGGACAGTAGTAGCTTTAAACTTTTCTGGACACCAAAGTCTGGCACATCTGGGATCTGTGATTGACAAATGAGGAAAAATGGGGGCTTGAGGAAAGGGAAGGTACAATATATATAGAGGGTTTGTTCTTGAAATTCTATGATGCCATTACCAAAAGAATAACCAAAATTCTGCCAGTAAAGATAACTGGACGATCAAATTTATTAACTAACTGTTTTGGCAAAAACTTTGGCCTGCATATGGAAGAAAATATAATAATGGAAAGGTATACAAAGGAAAATCTGGTAAATATCTGACAATTGTTTGGGAACCATTTCTCTTTGTTTTACCATGGAATTCTGTCGAGAGATGCATCATTCTTCATGGAAGTTTCTGATGTAAGCTAATACTTTGGAAATAAAAGTATATGCATTAAAGGGGTATTTTCACCTTTGAGTCTTAAATAGATCAAATTTAGGCAGATCCATGACTAGATTCCAGGTATGTTCAAAATAATTATATCTGGATGCTGACCAGTTGTAATGTAGACCATTAGGGAAAACAACGGAATTGGATCTTTTTCTGGTTAAGAAAAAGTGAAAAGAAGGGGAATAATTTCCCCATTTGTATGTCCTTGCAGGTATAAGTGTGAGATCAGGAGAACCTCTAGTTTTAGATAACCCCCAATTGCCTTCATAAATTATTTATTATTGAGTTAAATTACCTAAGGGAAACATTGTTGAATAAGTTGTCTGGAAAATTTATATTTTATGCCATTCTTTCTTCATCTTACATTTGTACAGGTCAGATATAGTGGAGGGGCTTATGTGCAGTTATATGTTCTTTTTAGCATCTCATGACTGTTTCATTCTCTTTTACAATTCTTTGCTAAACAGGGAGTTTTGAAGGCACTAAACGTCAACAAACTGACTTCGGCTGGCTGCAAGGTGAAGATCTGGATTGCAGATTGGTTTGCGCAGCTAAATAATAAGATGGGTGGTGATCTGAAGAAAATTGAGGTTGTTGGTCAGTATTTGATTGAGATATGGAAGGCTGTGGGAATGAATCTTGAAGGGGGTCAAGTGGAATTTCTATGGTCTTCAAAAGAGATTAACTCTAGAGCTCATGAGTACTGGCCACTTGTTATGGACATAGCTCGAAGGAACAAGCTTCCCAGGATTTTAAGGTAAAGGATAAAGCAAGTAAAACTCTCTTGCTTCTCCTGAAAAGGACAGTCAGTTATTGCTTACATGTTTTTTTTCTTCATTATAAGGTGCTGCCAAATTATGGGTCGGTCTGAGCAAGATGAGTTGACAGCGGCCCAGATTTTTTACCCATGCATGCAATGTGCTGACATATTCTTCCTTAAGGTAAGCTGTTTTATAACTATCTATTTGTTTGTTCAGTTAGCTGGATAACTTAAATATAAGCATCTTTTGTGAGGCTTTATTGGGAATAATAGAGGCACCTTCACATGGCATTGTAAGAAGTACCAGGGAGAGGTGATTAGGCAGGACATGACGTTGCTTCACCAAGGACATGACCCTAGATAGGAAAGTGTGGAGGTCGAGAATTAGGGTTGAAAGTTGATAGGGAGCCGAGGGTGTCTCTTAGTGTTACCGATAGTATTAGTAATATTCTTATTTTCTGTTCCTAGACCTTTTTATTATATGTTGTTTCTTTCTTACTGATAGTATTAGTAATATTTTTTTATCTCTAGATATTTGTTAGTATATGTGAGTCCTTGTTTTCTTTTCTCTTCATTTTTTGTTCTTGTTATGGTTGGTTGCTTCCTTGTCACTGTTCCTTGAGCCGAGGGTCTGTTGTAAACAACCTCTCTACCTTCACAAGGTAGAGGTAACGTCTGCATACACACTACCCTCCCCGGACCCCACTTGTGGGATTACTGGTTTGTTGTTGTTGTACCTTCACAGTTATTCTTGTTTTAGGCATGCAAGTTACCCCTGTAATGTCACTGAACAATTTACTTCTTGCTTGTCTGGGTCAACATTGCAATGTCACTTGACAACCTGGTTCTTGTTTGTCTTGTTTACCAAATGAGTAAAACACGCATTTCAGTTGCTACTAGGCATATAGCTGGATTGCCTTGAGTTTCTAGTTTCAGTGGCATATGCTTCTTGATATGGACAGATATGAGAGCTGCATACATTTTGTTTCATTTGTAGCCTGTATTTTTATGTGTGCTTGTCTTCAATCTTCCATAGTCTGTGCCGGGAGTGGTAATTATTTGTTTAAATTATGATTCTACCAGCTAAAGAAGAATTTTCTTGTTATTAGGCTGACATATGTCAACTAGGCATGGACCAGCGAAAGGTTAATGTACTTGCAAGAGAGTACTGTGATGACATCAAGAGGAAAAACAAGCCTATCATATTGTCCCATCGTACGATAATCTTTTTTGTATTCTAGAATTCAAATTCTCTTGTTACTCAGCTAACTCTTTTGTTTGATATGTTTGTTCCCTTATGATTTTGGCGTGCAGATATGCTCCCTGGTTTGCAGGAAGGTCAAGAGAAGATGTCCAAGAGTGACCCATCTTCTTCCATCTACATGGAGGATGAAGAGGTATCTAGCTATATATATTAATCACCTGTAACATAGTGCTACATTTGTTTTTAGGTTGATGGTCAGTGTTCATAGTAGATTTCTTAACAGGTGGTTTGTTGCCTATGAGGTTCTAGTGTAGTGACAGTATTTTTTTTCCTGTGCCATGCTTGAACATCAAAGGCAGATGTAAATCTCAAGATAAAGAAGGCTTTTTGTCCACCAAAGGTCGTAGAAAAGAATCCATGTCTGGAGTACATCAAGTATATCGTCCTCCCTTGGTTTTATGAGTTCAAAATTGAGCGAAGTGCTGAGAATGGTGGCGACAAGTGAGTCATTTCATGCATTTCTCATATCCATTCAGCTGGTTTGTTAACACAGCACAATCTTTTAGCTCATCTTTTGGTTTGTTCTTTTTCCCACACTAGGACCTATAAGAATTTTGAAGAATTAGCGGCTGACTATGAAAGTGGGAACTTGCATCCTGCAGACCTGAAACCTGCATTGTCAAAAGCAATCAATAAGATATTACAGGTAGATGACAACATCTTACTTGGTGTTTGTGCTAATCTCTTATGTAGTCCTTGTTTTTAGTATTACATTGATGCATTTGCAAATTTGCCATTTTGTTTTGCATTGACTCTGCATTTTGATATTGTGAGAAGTAGTCTTTTGATTGTTGGTCTTATTACCTGTAGTTCTTTGATATATACAACTAATTAGCCCCAACACCCTATAGAATAACTTCTTTGTTTGTAGCGTATTCTCATCTCTTTAGATTATCTTTTAAATTTCAAGGTTCTTATTTTTAAGACTCAGTGTAATCAATCATATATGCAATTTAATATCAACAAATAGTAAATTAAGTTATTGCACACCTGATGGCTAGTATCTGATGCGCTTCAGGTTGTATAGTTAATATCGAATAGACTACTGTCACTCAAGATCAGGACATCACAAATTGTTTTTTTTTTATAGTTCATTATATTTGTGATTCCACCTTTTCTGGTTGTCCTCCTGACTTAGTTTTCAATGTGATGCAGCCGGTGCGTGATCATTTTAAGAATGATCAGAAAGCCAAAGACCTTATGAAAAGGGTGAAGGTATGTATTCTTGAATTGCCTAAATGTTATGTGTTGGATAAAATGTCTCATCGTGTTAGCTAGACTATGTTACTTGAGCTCAGGCTAATATCATTTACTTTTCAAAAGAATTACAGAGGGGAATATGTTTTCCTGATTCTGCCTTGTCTAGAAAGTTCAACTACTGTTAGTTACTTTCAGTTGCTCTGTTTATCAAAATGATGTTGTGGGATTTTACTGGGTCGTCGTCGTCGTTGCTGTTGTTCTGTTTATCAAAATTATGATTGTTGAAGTAGTTATTATGATTGAAGAATAGATTGTCAAAGTTTTTCATGATTTTTGAGAAAAGTAATTCTACTTGGACCATCTTGAAGTTGCGGGTCGGGTTACAAGGATCCCCTTGTATCATTCTTTCAATGCTTAAACCCACCTTATCCTGGACTAAGCCAGAAATGTTTTTTGTGTTTGTTGATGGAGTTAAACCGGAGCTGAAATTATGGTGCTCGTCTCTTATCTCAGTTTTCTCCATCCTCGAACAAGTACCCTCATCTCTTTACTTTTTTTTAACCCTCATGTCTTTTGCACCACCACCAACTTGTTGTCGTCCCCGTATCTTTTTCACCTTTTGCCTCTCCACTTGATTGCTTTCTTGTGGGATTATACTGGGTGGTTGTTGTTGTTGTTGTTGCCTCTCCACTTGATTGCTTTGCTGACTGAATTAGTGAGGCTTCTTGATACAAGAAAAGAGAAATCTGAATTATGGGCTGAGTTGGAGTCAGGCTTTACCCCTTTTCCAAGAGGGATGATTGATTGTCTAATCATATGGCTCAAATTGTATATCGTATCTCCTAGACTATTGGGGTTGCGTTTCTTTCAGTGCAAAACATACTACTATTTCTAATGAAAAAATGAATGATAAAGCGTACAATTCACATTAACACTGTTCCACATAGTCAATTCCACTCAAACATTTTTGTCTAGTGTAGATATTCTATTAGCAAGCTTAAAAGATTATGTGAAAATTGGACATTCAGAACAATAGCATTAGTGTATCATTTTTGTCGCTCGTCTTGACCGTATTCAAGGGGCAAGTGTTCAAAACTAGTGTTATGGCAACTTTCTGATCTCAGTTTTGCTGTCTTCTGTTGTGCAGAGTTTCAAAGTAACAAGGTGAGGTCTAGTTGAATGAAGTGACATGGATTAGGATATGGTGTGGCTGTCTGGAAGTTCCATTCCATTTTTCTCCTGTTTCAAAACTTTAATACCGTGGTTTCCCAGGAGACGTTAACGTCATAGACATCCACCATTTTGATATAATATTTCTTATTCTTGTGTTATTGAAATGTCCGAATCATAAGACTAGATTTTGTAAACCGTGATTTCACAGAGGATACATTTGTTAGAATTTAGCAACATGGTAATTTCCATATAGGAAGTAATGCCTGTATCAATTGCCTTGCCTATCTGCCAATTGTGCGCTAATTAATTTATGTGAGCACCTCTCTGGAGTAGGCTCATATATATTAAAATGATTAAAAATAAAAATAAAGTAGATGTGGCAGAAAAGGAATTAAGTTGCTTTGCATTCAAAAGAGATGGTGACATTTTGGTTCTAGCATGAAAGCTCAAGAGGCCAATTATCCTTAATTTTTGTCTAATAATTGAGTAACTTTTCTAGTTAAAATATGATCTACGGAAATTCTGAAATTAGCATCATCAGGGGCAGCAGTTAATCTTTTTTATTTTATAAAGCTATCCCTCTCATTCAAAAAGATTGGCATTATTTTTTTATTAGTCTGTTTAAAAAAGATTGACACATTTCAATATTTTCTTAACGGGAAGCATTTAGGCCTCATTTGTTTGCACTTAATGGAGGTCTGAATCTTAAACATTCAGATCTCAATCATTAAGTTCGTTTGTTTTTAAAGTCTGAATCTTAGTTATTCAGATCTTAATCATTAAGTGTGTTTCTTTTTTTTACTTCACAACCACTTATTGGGTCTGAATAAGGTCTCTATGATTAAGATCTATAACAGAGACTTAATTTCATTAAGATGCTATCACATATTCATTATTAACTGCCGCCACCGCCTACCATTATCAACTACCACCATGCCACCACCACCACCATACTCAACCACCACCACCACCCCCACCACCATCATCCTCAATCATAGTCGCCACCATTATCGACCATCACCACCCACTATCCCCACCACTCCGACCACCATAATTATTCTCACCCACAATCAACACTCATCCACCTCAACTACCACAACTGACCACCCCATCACCATCAACAACCACAACCGACACTGTCCATCATTATAACCTACCACCACCAACCCACCACCTTCATCAGTCACAATTACTACCACCACCCGCCATTATTAACTATCACCACCCACCACCACCATCCTCAATGATAATTGCCACCACTACCAATCACTACTAGCTATTAGCATGAACCACCATCATCAACCAAAACTACCACCAACCACCACCTCTAGTCGGCATTCACCCGTTAGCCATCACCACCAACAACTATCGTATTTTAAAAAATTACATATTTTATTGATATAATTTTAGATTAGTTAGTATTTCATTTGTATTTTATGTTTATTAATTTTCAAAAAAGATAAATTTTGTATATTCAGATGTTAAAAATCAAACATTTTTAATTATTTCTATTCAGATCTTGATATGCATCTTAATATATCCAGATGTGTATTCAGATTCAGATGTCTTAATCTTAATACATATTTTGATATTCAGATGTGTATTCAGATTCAGACGTCTTAATCTTAAGAAAAACAAAATCATTTTCAGACCACAAGTTTCAAAAGTTTTATGGCCACATAAATGCTATGGCTTATCTAAACCACGTATAAGCATTTAAATTTTAATGGATTTAAATCCAATAAAATATTTGGATTATATGTTAAATATACTAGTTCAAATAAATATTATGGGCTAATATAATTGAATTAATTATTTAAATCTAATAATATTGACCGGGCTGGCCCACTTAATTGGGCTACAAATGACGAGCTCACTTCATTAGGCCCAATATGTCGTCTTCCTAGAGGCCCAGTTTGGTGCCACGTGTCAAATGACGTGGCATGACAAGTTAAATGGAAGAGCCAATAAGATCATGCCACGTGTCAAAATGACAAGGCATCCCAAGTCAAATTAAATGACCAATGAAACAGCTCCACATGTGCAAGTGACATGTTCTGGCCAATCAAATGCGGCCTTGTCACTCTTCAATCTGATTGGTCGGAAAGAGTTTGTTCTTATCATAAGACTTCCCTCCCACAACTATAAATTGGGGTCTTCATAACTCAGAAAAGACAACAGAAGTTACAACAAGAAGACATAGGGAGCTCGTGGATCAGAGGCCACAATTCTCTGCAAATTGCAAGTGTTCAAGCATTCATGCGCTTCAATACAAATTTCAAGTATTCAAGATCAAGAACAAAGTCAAATTAAATACAAGGCGTTCAAGATCAAGGCTACTTGTTCGTGATACAATTCGTGGCAACAATCAAAGGGTTCGTGACAGATAAATCAAATTCAAATTCAAAATCAAGCTCAAAGGCCCTTGAATTTATATTGGAAAAGTAGAATCAGAGGAATCATAGAGATTGTAACACTCATATTACTTGAAATCAAATATTACGATTGTTGCAATATTTTCGGTCTTGATTTTATTTTCTTGACGCAAATTTATTTTCTACAAATTCTGGCACGCCCAGTGGGACGATCTCTACCTCTCATCTCTTCTTTTCCAAGTTCAAGAATAAGATCTAACAATTCGACCATGGAAGAACAACTTGCAAATTTGACCAAAGCACTTGAGAAGTTGACCAAGTATATGGAGGATCGAGATACTCGCCTCGAAAATTTAGCAAGTGAGATCGAGAGCTTAGCAGAAAATAAATCAATTCAAGCACCTGTGGAGCTTTCCGAAGATAAAGTAGGGGGAGAATCCGCTGCGAGGCAAACGATCATGGTCAAAGAGATCCAAGTTTCTTTAGAAGGCCTGATTCATGTTGATCAATTGAAGGACTTCATCATGGGGACAATTGAAGATCAAATTGATCCTCCGATTAAATCTTCCCTCGCATATGCTAAGTCACACACAAAGGATTGATAACTTGAAGATGCCTACTGGATGTCAACCTCCAAAGCTTCAACAATTTGATGGAAAAGGAAATCCCAAGCAACATGTGGCGTATTTCGTCGAGACATGCAACAATGCTGGGACTTATGGTGATCATCTTGTCAAACAGTTTGTTCGTTCTCTCAAAGGTAATGCATTCAATTGGTACACAGATCTCGAACCTGGTTCTATCGATAGTTGGGAGCAGTTGGAGCAAGAGTTTCTCAATCGTTTCTATAGCACAAGACGCATCGTAAGCATGACCAAACTTACAAACTCTCATCAACGAAAGGATGAGCTAGTTATTCACTTCCTTAGTGAAACTTCTAGCATCGAAATGTGCATTCAAGGCATGCGTTGGGGCCTTCGCTATATCTTACAAGGCATAAAACCTAAAACATTTGAAGAACTAGCAACTCGTGCTCATGATATGGAACTAAGTACGGATACAAGTGGAGACCAAGGGCTACCTATCTTTGAGCCTTACGACGAAGAAGAAGAAAAAAAAAGAAAACGAGGATGGGGGCAAGTTTTCATCCGAAAATGAAAATGAAGAATCTATTCATGTTGCAATGCTGCTCAACGCACGAGCCTAAACTGCAAGTTATAATGCTCCTCAATGCATGAGCCTAACCTGCAAGTTATAACGCTCCTCAATGCACGAGCCTAAACTACAAGTTATAATGCTTCTTGGCACATTAGTATATATTGTATGTACCGAAGCTCCCCAATTTTGAACTAAATCTTTAAGACGTAAAGCTCTCCAAATTCGAGCAAAGTGTTCAAGTTGCAAAGTTCTTCACATTCGAGCAAAGACTCAAGTCGAAAGCTCCCTGAAAGTCGAGCAAAGACTTCAAGTTGCAAAGCTTTTTAAATTCGAACCAAACTTCAAGACGTAAAGCTCTTCAAATTCGAGCAAAGTCTTCAAGTTATAAAGCTCTTCAAATTCAAACAAAGTGTTCAAGTTGCAAACCTCCTCAAATTCGAGCAAAGACTCAAGTCGAAAACTCTTCAAAGTTGAGAAAAGACTTCAAGTGGCAAAGCTTTTCAAATTCGAGCCACAATTCAAGTTGCAAAGCTCTTCAAAATTGAGCAAGTCTTTAAGTTGTGAAGCATTTCGAAACATAAGCTAAATCTTTAAATTATTACGCTACTGGACGCACGAGCCTAAACTACATCTTCCTACACTCGTGGCCCACATGAGTCTAAACTGTGTACATCCCACCAAAAAAAGAGTCTGCTAGGTTGAAAACCTCGAAAGAGGCGGCCTAGGCAAAAGTTAGGACATATAAAAAAAAGGTCCGCTAGGTTGAAAACCTCGAAACAGGCAGCCTAGGCAAATGTTAGGACATAAAAAAATAAAAAATAAAAAATAAAAATTACCTATTCTGAACTAAGGTATGAGTTGATCCTCTTCACTGAGGTACGTAGGCAGCTTAGAGTTTCATTTTGAGTTCAATCGAATAAGTTCAAAAGATACATATTGCCCCAATTGTTATTCAAATAAAGTATGATGGAATATAATACATTCAATCGGTATTTGGAAATAGGGTTGCACTGCATTTCTTCTATTGAACTTTGGATCCCATATGATTTAAAGGGGGCAAACCTCCATAGCAAATTGGAGGTTTGCTATGGAGGTCTTTTAGTAGAAGGTGAAATCTTCAAGTTGAAGTCTTTAATGCTAAGTCAAGTTGAATTTGTCTTGTTTGCTATGCCGTCAATTTAAAATATTCAAGTCCTCCCGTCTTCAAGTTGAAGTATTCAAGCATTCCAAGTCTTCGAGTTGAAGTACTCAAGCATTCGAAGTCTTCAAGTTGAAGTATTCAAGCATTTCGAGTCTTAAAGTTGAAGTATTCAAGCCCTCCAAGTTTTCAAGTGAAAGTCCTTAAGTTTGCATGTCTACAAGTTGAGTTGTTTAAGACTTTAAGTCCTCCAAGTCTTCAAGTTGAAGTCTTCGAATTCGTCAAGCCTCCAAGTTGAAGTTTACGAGTCCAAGTTTTCAAGTCCATTGGTCTTCAAGTAAAAGTCCTTAAGTTTGCATGTCTTCAAGTTGAGTTGTTTAAGCCTCCAAGTCTTTAAGTTTAAGTCTTCAAGTTTGCTAATTCTTCAAGTTGAAGTTTAAAGTCCATCACTCTTCAAGTTGACGCGTCAAAGTCTGCCAAATCTTCAAGTCCGTCAAATCATCAAGTTTGTCGGTCTTCAAGTTGAAGTCTACAAATCCACCAAGTCTTCAAGTTGAGGCTTTCTAATTTTCCAATCTTAAGGTGGACGTTTAAATCCCAT